CTTTGTTCTCCTCCAGCTTATCGTCTTGCTTAGAGGAGTGAAGGCTAATGGACAGCTGGCATATTTCAGACAGCAGAGCTGGAATCAATCGAATAACAAGTTAACCAACAATGGTTCTCTCATGTCATAAGAAGGGGCGGGGCCCCGAGCAGATCTGGTACCTACAGCGGTTCTCATTAAAGCTCCACAAACAGGCAGCAGGATTCCTGCTTTCCTCAGTCTGAATGGGTCAGAATAAAGCACATGTTTTAATAATAATTTTATTTCACTGGGAAACTTTTTTTTTTTTTCATAACTGCAGATTTATTTTCAAATGTAAAAAAATTCATAAGCCGTTTTCGTGTGTCTCTAAATTTGGTTTAAAGTAAACGTGCTAAACAAGCTACACATAGCTGTGGTTGTCTTGTCTCCTGTGGTTTTATGTTAATGTAACTTTTTAAGCCGCCTTCTTGGCCAGGACTCCCTGGAAGAAGAGTTACTTTAACTCAATGGGACTTTCCTGGTTAAATAAAGGTTAAATAAAATAAAATAAAATAAAAAACATTAATACAACCTTGGTTTGCTGTAAAACTCAATGTTTGCACCTTTACTTTTAATTCACTTTCACTCAGAGATGTCAAGTAACAAAGTGAAAATACTTCTTTACTGGAGTAATTTTTTTTTTTAGACAACTTTGTACTTTAAACATCTTACATTTCAAAAAAACAGACTCACTAGTTTTGTTTCATTTTAGCTCATTTTCATTCAAAGTAAAAATTATGAAAATAATTAGTTTTATCCAATTAATTCCTTTGTGGTTGGATTCGGTGCTGCCCCCACTTGTTGCTCACCACATACCAAAATAAATAGTTTTTCCAAAATGATGCTAAATTAAATGGGACACTGTTACAATCAGTTATAAAAGAAAATGAAGTCTGAGGAAGTTATCATCCAGAATGGTAGAAAAATGTTCCTTTAATAGAGTAGAGCAGTAAAGCTTCTGGCCTTAACAGTTTTTCCTGCATTACTTTTATTTTTATTCTTTAAATAGTTTTAAAAATTGTACTTTTACTGGAGTAAAGTGCTAGTAAAGTGTTATTAAACAGCAGGATATCTACTGGAGTAATAAACAATAATACTTTAACACCTCAGTTAATGCAAACATCTCAGCATGTGTTCTCTGTTGCCTTGGTTATCTTTGTGTTTATATGGATGTTCAAAATAAAGACTTTGGGCAAAATATTAACAATAATGGGTCCGGATGATGAGTACCTATAACAGGAATGGAGAAGGAGCAGCGAGGGCAGCGGACTGTTTGGGACATCCCAGGCAGCGGAAGGACATTCCCGCATTCAGGGCAGAAGTTTGGCTCACCGGCGGAAGCAGACATGTTCTCTGAAAACAAACAGCATGTTTGCTAAAAGGCAACAGGAAACTTTACGATAACAATCCTCCTCATTTCCTGTTGTTTAACTTCGTTATTTATGGAGTTTATAAAACTATAAGAGTATAGATATATGTATATCTATGACTGTAAACATCGTAGAGCCTTACCTTCATTCAGCACCATAACATGCTGACTCTCTTCTTCTGTGGTATTTATTGCCCTCTAGGATCCTTTGAGCTGTGTTGCTGCCACCTCCTGGTTAACGATAGCATTGCAGCCTTGATGTTTTAACAACTCAATGAGAAAATCAACTGTACAACTTAAAAAGTCTGACATATCGGAAAGATCAAGGTAAATTGCGTTTTTTTAATAAAAAAAAACATATTTGTGGATTATTAAAACTGAGTTTTTTCAATAAATCAGATTTTATTCTTTATAAAAGGGTAATTAAATTTAAGACAGTTTTTTTATGTTTTATAAATTCTAGAGCACTAATCAGTCGGTTTTATCAAAATTCCAGGCAAATGAAGTTTCTTGTGAAACAGCAGAGAAACAACTTTATCATCTAGCTTTAGTGTTTGGTTGATCAATGTTTGGAGGGGGGGGTTAGGGGGGAGAATAAAGTCACAGCCAGGGGTCTCCCATAGAACTGGAATTGTTCCTTACCTCTTTTTTCTCAGTCTCTGCCTGCCATTATACCTATCAAAGTAAAACAGCACCCAAACTCTGAGACCATGAGTCAGCATTTACATTTTTTAAGTTGGAATGTTAAAGCCATCCAATGAAGAGAATGAAGGCTTTTTCCCATATCAAACAATTTAATATAGATGTGGCTCACACCAGGAGCTCGGACGGAGGTCGTCTTCTGACATGCTGGAGGGGACAATGTTTTCATTCCCATTTTCAGGTTAAGGCACGAGGGGTCTCCATACCTATCAGCCAGAATACTCCGTTTGAGGCCAATAATGCGTAGGCTGATAAACATGGCCAATTTATAATGGTGAGTGGGAAGCTGCAGGACACTCTGGTCGCTCTGGTCAATGTTTACGCTCCCAACATAGATGATGAGAACTTTTTTAAGCAACTATTCTCTTCATTACCTGACCTCAATAAATACTCACTGGTCCTAGGGGGTGATTTCAGCTGTTGGCTGGACCCAGTTTTGGATCACTCATCACTTAAAGGCAATGTTATAAGCAAGTCTGCATCAGTTATACAAGCCTTTCTATCTGAGTATGGGCTGTGTGATGTTTGGCAAACTTTAAATCCCAAAAAGAGGGACTACTCATACTTCTCACATGTACACAAAACATATTCAAGAATCGACTACTTTATTGTGGATGCAAAATGGCTACAACAGATACGTTTCTGTGACTACCAAAGCAAAATTATTTCAGACCACGCCCCACTCACTCTGTCCCTATCCCTTCCCCATCTTGCCCTGAGAACTGGACAATGGCGTTTTAATTCAACTCTGCTGTCAGATGAAAACTTCGTAAAGTTTATTCAAGGTGAGATACGATTCTTTTTTGCTACTAACTCTTCCCATGAGACGTTCATCCTCATGGTATGGGATGCCTTTAAGGCCTACATCAGAGGCCAGATTATTGCTTATTCAGCAACAATTAAAAAACAAGCCACCTATGAACAGAACAACCTAACGCAGCAAATCAAAGAGATTGACATAAAATATAATTTTAATCAAAGTCCTGAACTGTTTAAAAGACGAGTTGAACTTAAAACAAGGCTCCACCTATTGACGACACACTCAGCCGAACGCCTGCTTTTACATAACAGATATAAATTTTATGTGCATGGCGACAAACCTGATAAACTACTAGCAAACATGCTCAAGGGTTCTAGGGCAAGGCAAGACATTTCCAGAATTTGAAAACAAGATGGCAGTGTAGTCACAGACCATTGTCAAATTAATGATGCATTCAGGGACTTTTATGAGGAGCTTTACAGCTCACAATCACAAACCAATTCTAACATGACTGATGATTTTCTAGCTAAGCTTCACATTCCTGTAATCTCACCAGAATTTAAGAATGATGAACCTATGTCTCATGCAGAAGTTTCCCTAGCAATAGCCTCAATGCAACCTGGCAAATGCCCAGGACCGGATGGTTTCCCTGCAGAATTTTTCAAACAGTTCTCAGACTTACTCTGTGTGCAGCTCAGCTCCACTTTCACTGACTGTTTTAAACACAGATCCCTTCCTCAATCATTCTATGATGCTTGTATCACAATGATTCCAAAAAAAGGCAAAGATCCAGTGGAATGCACCTCTTTCAGACCTATCTCTTTCCTAAATACCGATGTGAAAATTCTGGCCAAAATTCTTTCCCGTAGACTTGAAACAGTTTTACCTACAATTATTTCAAAAGACCAAACAGGCTTCATTAAAGGTCGGCACTCATATTTTAATATTAGAAGACTGCTCAATATTGTTTATTCTAGTGCCACGGATTCGGCTGAGTGTGTGGTCTCTCTGGAAGCCGAAAAAGCCTTTGACTATCTATTTACAGTCCTTAGCAGATTTGGCTTTGGAGCAAACTTCATTTTATTGATTAAATTATCATACCAGCAACCATCTGCCACAGTTTGTAACAACTTTCAGACCTCAAAACCATTTAAACTACAAAGAGGCACCTGTCAGGGATGCCCTCTTAGCGCCCTGCTTTTGGATCTGGCCATAGAGCCCCTTGCGATCGCACTTAAAACCAGTAAAGAGATGTCCGGCATTAGGAGGAATGACATGGAACACAAAGTGTCACCATACACAGATGACCTTCTACTTTTTATCTCCAAACCATCAACTTCATTGCCTTCTGCTCTCGATATATTTAGCCAATTCGGTCAGATTTTGGGGTAGAAGTTGAAACTTACCAAAAGTGAGCTTTTCCCATAGGTAATGAAGTTAGCATGTTAGACTTTGCTAACCTGCCATTTAGAATTGAAAGACAAACATTTACATACCTTGGTATCACAGTGACAGAAAAACATAAAAATCTGTTTATTGAGAATTTGATTAAGCTGTTGAACCAAGTGAAGGAATCCCTCACAAAGTGGACACCCCTTTCCATGTCCCTTGTGGGACGTATCAACTCAATTAAAGTGAATATACTGCCCAAATTTCTATACCTTTTTCAGGAATTACCTATTTTCATTCCTAATACTTTTTAATGAGCTAGACTCAATTTTTCATCTTTCATCTGGCAGGGTAAACGCCCAAGGCTTAATAAATTACAACTCCAAAAATCTAAACAGGAAGGGGGGGTTACCTCCCCCAATTTTCAGTTCTATTACTGGGCTGCCAATCTTAGATGCCTAGTGTTCTGGTATTTCTATCATAATCAGGGGGGCTGTCCTGACAGGGTGGCTATGGAGCTACGCTCTGTTCCCCACTCTCACTCTCCTCATCTAACCCTACTTTAAACCCAGTAGTGAAACACTCGCTGAAAATATGGGGCCAGTTTAAGAAATACTTTAAACTCCACCATTTCTCCTTCTTAAGTCCAACCATTTTTTTTAAACCATCTGTTCAGGATGGGGTGTTTCTAGAGTGGTAGCGGGGGGGACTTACTTACTTTAAGGACTTTTTCATTGGGAAACATTTGGCATCCTTTGAGGAACTTACCAACAATTTTGGTTTACCAAAATCCCATTTTTTTTTTTTTAGATATTTACAAACCAGAATCTTTATTCAGTCTCACTTGTCAGGCTCAATCTTTCTGCCAATAAATACACAGTTGGAAACCATCCTATCATTGAACCCAACTCATAAAGGGCTGGTTTCATGGCTTTATAATAAAATGTTTACTATGAAAGAGACCTCCACACTTAAAGCCTCATGGGAAGAGGACTTGAATATGACCATACCGGATCAGACATGGGACTCTATACTTTAACTGGTGAATACGTCATCTCTGTGTGCGCGCCATTGCCTCGTTCAGTTTAAAATAGTACATTCAACTGGTAAATTTGAAGAAATATGGGGGCCCTTTATTGACTCATTCCAAAACTTACAACAATGCTCCAGATTAAAAAGATTTATTAGATTTAATAAATCTGTCTCAGTCAGGGATAGGAAAGTAGTGCGTTGACCTCTTGGTAGTGACCTGGGCGGGCTAAATGGGATTTTATTTTGTAGGGATGGATTTTTCTGTATCATCATTTTATATCCATCTTTGCTGGATAAATATATTTACAAACTGTATGTATAAAAGGAAAACTCAAAAAAGAAAGTGATTAATAAAAAAAGAAGGAACAAACAGCAGTGATATCCTGCTTCAGAGGCTACTTAGCACCTTCTTAGCTTTTGGGGGGGAATTAATCAAATTAATTCTTATTAGACCCCATTTTAGGACATCAAAAGCACAAATACTTGAAAATATGTAATATTTCCCAAGGCACCTAATAGGATTGATTCAAATAGCCGTGGATTAAAAATCGACCACCAAGATTGGAGAATTTGGATGTATTTTTAAAGAGTATTTAGAGTAGAATATTCTCAGCTACATCTCCTCCATCCTGGATGCTGAGAAATGCTGCGCTGTGCTGGTTTCTCTGTGGCGTTAACAGAAGGAACTGACCCTGGCTGCCTTTATTTGTCTTAACTATAACCTCAATCACAGGTCAGAACCCCGTGACCTGAAACCGTCAGATTCTGCATTTTCTTTTCCCAGGGCATGTTTATGAAAGAGGATGTGGACGAGGAAAGGAAGCCGACCAGCGATGAATCAGAGGGAACTGCTGATCTCAGCTTAGCCTGCAGGACAAACATGTTCTCAGACTAAAGGGAAATGTGTGAAAATGTGGAATAAGTTCATGGAAATCCTTCAGTAGGTTTGCTTGCTTTAGCGTAACAAAAAGTCAGGTCTAGAATCTAAATCCCAGTTAATGAACTCAAATGACATCAACAGAACAGAGTTCAGTTATAAACAGACGTCTTCACAGAGTAAACAAATATCAAAATAGTTCATTTTATTATTTTTTTCTGTAATAAAGTTATAAACAATTCAGGCAGTGGTTTCTTTTCACATCACCGTACAGAAATGGTTCTCTAGTAACCCAAAGCTAATTACAGTACAGTGATAATGATGATGTTTCCAGTTTCGCTGCAGGACAAACGATTCATTTGTTGGATTTACATTAATCCAAAAACAGCCAAGCTTCAGATGTGATGTCATCGCTACAAGAAATCCCATCAACCAGAACCTCAGGATGTACGCCAATCGCTCCGGCATCATTCTGTCTCAGGGGCCGTTTACCAAACAAAAAAATTATAATAATCAACAATAAAATCTTCCCCTTCTCAACTTCTAACCTGGCTTCATTCATTCAGCTGACCTCATGTGGCATTTTTGTTGATTCGCCATCATTCAGCTGCTCTAAGGATTGATTCATCACTACCTTTAGGACATCTTCCTTTGCAAAACTCACCCTTTTTCTGCTCCACCGTTTCTGGGCGTTATTCCTCACATTCTGCTCGTTTCCACAGTATTCCTGCTTCAACACTGGTCAGATTACCTGAGCAGCTCAGCAGGTGTCCTGCAATCCCTCACTGCTGCAATCAGGCTTGTTGAAGCAGAAAAACAAAAGGCAAAGTGCTGGGAACCAAGAGGATTAGGGCCACTGGGAAAAAAAAAAAAAAGTTTACTGATTTTTAAATTTTATTTCAGTTTAACATGAGAAAAAAGTCAGAATTCTGACTTTAATCTCAGAATTCTGACTTTTTTCCCCATGTTAAACTGAAATAAAATTTAAAAATCAGGTAACTTTTTTTTTTTTTTCAGTGGCCCTAATCCTCTTCCGTAGGTCTGGGTTTAGTACGGAGAGAAATTAGCACCATTTGCAAGCAAAGAAACAAAAATAATAAACTAGAAACATTTAAAAAACGTCTTATTTAAAGAAACGTTTTTTTTTTTTCTTTTTTTTTGGATCTTTGCAGTTTTCTCAGATTACATTTTTTCAAAAGAACTTTACTTCATTGTATCACTGTTCTTTTTTACACTTAGAGCTTTTTAAACTGCCTTTTACAGATTTTACACATCCTCTTTACTCCTGGGGTCAAATGAGGAAGCATTTCTATTGGTCGACAGAGAGCGTCCATATCGGGCTCATTGGAAGAGAATGCGATCCGTAAAACGCCTTTTCAGAAGAAAACGTCATAAAACAATATGAAAAAATATATATATAAAGATAATATCTATAAACAAATGTTTAAGAATAATTATAAGGAGGGAAAAAAAGAAAATCAGAAAAACCAGCTTAAACTTCTCTTAAATAAGTTTTATTACTCGAATGCATTTTTTTCTTTACTAGCAACAATAATGGAAGGAGATTCCCTCCATAATTTTGTCGTTAACGTGGCGGCGGCTCACTTTTAGACCTTCTGAGCCGCAGTTATTAGTCTCTGGCATCTTTTGGAGCATTTCCTGCTGGAACAAGCCTGATTGAAAAGGACAGACTACCGGTGGTTTCCTATAGAAACGGGTGAGCAGTAAAGGAGTCAGACTGTCCTAACTGAGCAGAAGGATCTGGATCCTTATGATCCTGCTGATGGAACTTTTCCTTCTCTGCTTTCTGAATCAGAAACATCCATTTATCAGCTAACTTGGTTTATTAGTGAAGCACTGAGGAACTCAGGTGGTTTAGTCCAAACTTAGTGCTGCTAGATGAGAGAAAGTTAGTGTTTCTGCCCCCCCCATCATTAGTGTAAACTCACCAACTTCAGATCAAAGGCATGTTTTCCTTTAATAACCTGGTTGAGGTTTTTCCTTCTCATTGTGGATTAAACTCATTTGGATCATTAGTGATGCCGTTTCCTCCAAATGACACTGAATCTTAATGGGATCAATATTCTTTAAAAACAAAACATAAAGTAGTTTAATCTCCCTAAGTGCTTCCCTCTGACTCTACCCTTCGTGCCTCTTTTTAATTCCCGGGTTTCGCTCCATGACTTCCTTCTTCCACCTGGAGCTGCGGCAGATATCTGCAACGTTCTGGCTTCCATTTAAACACGAGAACAGAGTCCAGAAAGCAAGGCACGTCACCAGTGTTTATAAAATTCGTCTCCTCTGCGTGGCGGTCCTGTCGGTAACAGGTGAACAGCCTTGTTTTCTGTTGATGAGCGGTCTCACCGCTACCCTCACTGCAGGAATTCTTCTTTGGTCTGAGGGTTTAGTCTTTAACAGCGTTTTCTGGAGAACCCTCAGCTCCAGCTGGAGTCGTACTGCGTCCAGCCCTCCGGTGGAGCTAAGAAGACCCTCCGGCCTCGGTGCAGGAAGCTGACTACGCCTCTGTAACCGGTGCGAGGAACTCCAGATTTTAAGTCGTCCATCACTCCCAAATTTCTAGCAAAGACTTTAAAACTGTCTCTGCTGGAGTACTGCACCCTGTACGGCCCGGGTCCTTTCAGACTCCCCCCATGCTGAAGGTCTTCCATCTTCACCAATGTGGCGCTATAAACCTCCCGAATAAACATTGGATCGTACTTCTCCTTCAGCAAGAAAGACAGATCCTGTTTGGTGAAAGGCACAAACTCCATGTTCAGCCGAATATAGCGAAGGTATTGGTCAAAGAACTGACCTAAACTGACACCTTTCCTGCCAAAGGTGATGGTCCGGGAGATCTCCGGTCGTATGCAGGAGCGGTTTTTACGCTGCTCAGGTTGACGCATCCAGTCGTCCCAGAAGGCTGAAGGCCATTTTGGTTCCAGTTCGTCCCACAGCTCCTTCAGCAGCATCCAACCCAGGCCGGGGAAGAAGTCTGTCCTGTGGAGGAGCTGGGATTTGGAGGGGTCGATCAGAGCGTCTCTGCCGTTATCGTTCCAGGCGGAGACGCACCACAGGCTGGGGTCGGAGCGCAGGATGGGATACAGGGCCCGGAAATACTCAAAAAAGTCTGGAGCCACCTGAGTGGGAGGAGAGGTGATGTTAGCTTTCCAACTTTAGGGTTTCTGTGTCAACAGATTAATATAAGAGGCCAAAGTATAGAGTGGATTTAGTGCCAATGTTGATACAAACAAAGAAGATATTTTGGAGAAAAAAAAAGAAAAGGTTTTAAAAGAAACGTTGCTGTTTCCCCCTTTTTTTTATTTTTATCCATTTTTCATATTTTAAATTTTACAGATTTTATGTTTTTTGATTCCATTTCTTAGATTGACTCCATTCTTTCAAATAGATCACATTGCAATTTTGTAAAAGTCAACCTGAAAAA